TAGATCCTCGCTAATTTGATTTTTTGTGAGCTTACAAGTTTGGTTGATAAAGGTAATAGTGTTGATGTAATGCACTAAGATTTCTGTAAGGCATTTGACTTAGTACCACATGACATTTTGATTTTTAAAAAACTAGAAAGATCCAGAATTAACATGGCACACATTAAATGAATTAAAAGCTGGCTGATAGGTCTCAAAATGTAACTGTAAATGGGGAAATCACAGTAGAATGGGTGTGTTCTGCTGGGGTTTCACAGGGATCCGTTCTTGGTCCTACACTAGATAACATTTTTATCAATGACCTGGAAGAAAACAAAATCACCACTGATAAAGTTTGCAGATGACCCAAAAATTGGGAGAGTGCTAAATAATGAAGAGGACAGGCTACCGATATAGAGCAATCTGGATCGCTTGGTAAGCTGGGAGCAAGCGAACAATGTGTTTTAATATGACTAAATGAACACATCTGGGAATAAGGAATGTAGCCCATACTTATAGGATGGGGGACTCTTTCCTGGGAAGCAGTTACTTTGAAAAAGATTTGGGGATGATAGAGAATAATCAGCATTGCACTGGGAGTACATGTTCAGCTGTGGTCAAAAAGACTAATATGATCCTTGGATGCATAAACAGAGGAATCTTGAGTAGGAGTAGAGAGGTTGTTTTACCTCTATATTTGGCATTGGTGTGACCACTGTTGGCATATGGTTTCTAGTTCTGGTGTCCACAATTCAAGAAGAATGTTAATAAATTTTAGAGGGTTCAGAGGAGAACCACAAGAATGATTTAAAGGATTAGAAATATGCCTGTATATAGTGACAGATTAAAGGAGCTCCAATCTTTTTATCTTAACAAAGAGAAAGTTAAGAGGTGACTTGGAACAGTTTACCAAGAGTTGTGGTAAAAAATCTTGACTGGATGTTTTTCTAAGAGATATGCTCTAGGTAGGAATTATTTTGGGGAAGTTTTGTGGCCTGTGTTATACAAGAGGTCAGATTAGATTATCACAATGGTTTCTTCTGCCATCAGGGTCTGGGGGGCAAGGAGAAATGCAGGCAGGACAGCAGTGGGACAGAATAGCAAAAGTGTCCCTGCTTGCAACAGCCAGAAAGCAGAGGAAGAGGTAAATTACAGGGGTGAAGCCAGAGCCCAGATTTAGGATTAAAGACATTCTGCTGATATCAGAAAGAGATGCTACTTTTCCTTTTACAAGAGGAAAAGAGGAGTACCTTATTTTACTTTTCCCTGTCCAAGTCCTCTTCTGTAATGATGACAGCCTCAATAATAAAAAATAAAAAATGTTGCTTACTAAGGGACTTTAGCAGCATCCATAAATCTTACTCAGTAATCTGAATAACTGCAAAGAAACAAAATCACAACTAGTTCTGCATATTCTTTCAAATACATCAAATCTCTAATACAATGGAATATCGGGAAAGTTTCTGTTCTCGTCCACACGGATTCCTTGGCTCAGCTAAGGGGAAATCACTCTTAACTGCTTCCTCCCTCTCCCCCCTCACCCCCAGTATTGCTAGAACTTGTAGCACAATATATTAAATTACATGACAGTTTAAAATTTGTGTATAATAACATGCCCCTTTTTTGTGTGGTGCTTAAACTCATTATCGATGACTAACTATCAGCTTTTGAAATGTTAATAGGCTGCCATTAAAGTCTTATTAAAAAACAAATGGCCCATTCCAAATTGGCATAATGTTCTCAAGCAAAAAACTCCACAGGTTTAGAAGTAGTTTCTGGACTCTTACTACTTTGGCTAACAAAGACTAAAGTTTTTGGGGCAGCACAACCACAAAAATAATCACAGAAATATAGGACTGAAAGGGACCTCGAGGTCATTTAGTCCAGCCCCCTGTGCTGAGGCAGAACCAAGTACACCTACACCATCCCTAATAGGTGTTTGTGTAATCTGTTCTTAAAAACCTCCAATTGCAGGTATTCCACAATCTCCTTTGGAAATCTATTCCAGTATTTAACTATCCTTATAGCTAGAAAGTTTTTCCTAATATCTAACCTATATTTTCCTTGCTGCAGATTAAACCCTTACTTCTTGTCCTACCTTCAGTGAACATGGAGAACAATTGATCACCGTCCTTTTTATAACCGCCCTTTACACATTGGAAGATGGTTACCAGGTCCACCCAGCCTTGCCCAGTTTTTTATTAGTTTTTTTTTTAAATAAATAAAAAAGCACTTAGAGCAAGATAAATTTAATAGAGAGTCATTAACTGAATTAGGAGAGGTTTGCACAAAAAGATAAGCAGGAGGGAATTTAATTCAAGTACGTAAAAAAAGCAAAACCACATGTAAAACTGTTCTTTAATCAAGTCCCATATTCCAGTTAAAGAAGCGTAGCAAGAAAAGAAAGTAAGTTTACCATTAGTAGTCTTGGTAAAGTAAAATTTGTTGGTTTGGCCTTTTTCCTTTTGTCCTGAAGCATAAGGTAGCTTGAAATAATTTTACTTTTGAAAAAAGGGTGTTTTGGGCTCTAAACTCAGAAGTATTACCAATATAAATTCTAGTCTTCCATGTTTCTGCTGAGGTCTCCTTGTAAAAATAAAAATAAATTAGGAGCTTTGGGATTGTTGTGAATAGTTTTATTTTTTTAAGAGGCAGTAATGTTAATTCTTCTCTATACATGAGAAGTGCTATAAAATGCTTCCAGGTCATGTTATTAAAGAGGGTAAGTGTTAAATTTTACTACAGAAACAGCTGGAAGCGCAAAATATTCTGGGTCTCACCTATTACATTTTTACAATTACAGTTGCTTTACAAAACTGCAATATATAATCAGTAGATTTCGGTTAGATTAGAACAATTTGAAGAGTTTCTATTCTACAGATTTACTTTGGAAAAAATGCAATCATAGTGTCCAAAGTTCTGTCTCAAAGATATCCAGGTAAAATGTGCTCCATTTATGAATGATTGAAAAGGTGGTAGTTAAAACTTCCAAGTTAGTAAAAAATATTTTCTTTTAGTTGTTTGTAGAGCATTTAAGTGTTTTTATCTAGTTTATACTTAATTGAGAATACAGTATAAACAAAAGTAATTTATTTCAATTTGTCAGGTTTCACCTGCATTGTAGTTGTAATGCAATATAATCTCACCAGCTCCTCAGTAAGCCATACTGTGTTCCCAGAAAAACAGTAGACAAGACCTGAATTTTTAATGCAAAAAGCAAGGGTAGGGGGAAGCATTTGAAGACCAGAAAAACTGATGCAGGATTTATATATCGTTTAAAATGCCCTTTTTTCTTTTTCTTTTTTTTCTGTTTTATGAATTATTTGATACACTATATTGCATATCTGCCAAAATGGTAGAGAAAGATGTCAATGTCAATTTAGGAAGACAGCAGGTCTAACTATTTTTTTTTTTTTTTCAATCAGAAATATCTTTTTATAAAATTTAATTCTTGGTTCAGGTAAAACAACTATTCAGCTATTCTGTTGTGTGAAATTTTAAAATAGAATAAATGAGGTGATAATAACTTCTTAATAAGCACACTCTTACTAGAGTGTCTTTGCTCTTACATATGTTCTGCCCAATTATAGCCAGGTCAGTTATTCCAACAAATTTAGGACCGAGTACAGATGCAAACTAAATAAAAAATTGCTGTAGATTTTGGCCAACATTTTGCTGATTTAAAGGTAAATCTGCATTGACTCTTTATTCCCCATATCTGGTACAAAATATAAGCACACGTTCAACCTAGAAAATTTGGCTGGTCAGGATTTATTCTAGTGCCATGTTATCAAGGATTTCCAATGAATAGCTTTTAAGCGAATTCTTTGGGATTGGTTGCATCACACATTAAGGTGGATAAGCTTGCAGTATTCACCAGAAACACAAAGATTTATTTGTTTAGGTGTTTTAAAGTTTCAAATGACTAATTTTGTGGTCTGAATACTATTGGAGAACACACCCTGATGTAGCTAACTAGTTTCAGTTTTCTGTATGAATGAAAGAAGTAAGATGCATGACACAAATCTGGTTTTGGGATTAGAGGGTAAAATGCTGCCAAGTGAAATGTAGCCATTCAGCATAATTTGTGATGCTGAATGTACCCTAAACAGCTTTAAGACTCAGACTTCCCTTTTCTAGCCTTATTTCCCAATCCATAAATCCTTTTAATACTGTTTTTTCTTTTAAAGTTTCACCCTCCCTCCTGGTAGTGGAAAGAGCCAAGACTATCACATACCAATTCATTCTATGTAAACAGGCCATCTGTTCCTCAGGAAGATCATGTTTTGATTTGTCCTAGATCCCCACCCCTTAACAGCTCTGTTCTCTTTACCTTGAAAGGCAGGATGTCCCTTCTGGCTGAGGAAATATGCTTGGCTAGTTTATGCATGCTGAGCATTGGTCAGAAAAATATGCACAGGACAGAGCTCAGATTACGAATTGTGAGCACTCACATGTTAGATTGCACGACTGGTCCACCTTGAGGATTTTAAGAAAACTTGAAGTATAACTGTGTTAATGATGTTTTTGTAGCCTCATCTCCATTCATGTTGCAGTTTCAAAGACTTAACTAAGTGTCCACAGCAATGTGCATATGCATTTATAGTAGAAATTTTGGATTCAACAGAGCTATTTATATGTGACTTCAAAGTTGCAAAGAACAGTTGTGTATTATCTCTAATTCTAGAGTATTTATGCTTCTACCATGGACATGGTGACCTACCTTTTAGACTGTATCTTTATAAATCTGATCCAAAAGCTTTTTGGATAATCAGGAGGGGGATGGGACATATGTTTTTAAAAAAATAATCATGTAAGTGTCAAAAGCAGGTATAGAAAAAGAACAGCTGTTGAAATTGTCAAGTTAATCATGATAATTCACTTGGACTCCCTCCTGTTTATAACAGACACATGGGAGCTGCAAATTTGGGAGGGGAACCAAGTTAGCCCAAACTCCAGTTCTCCATACTTATTGATCTTCAGTCATACTGAAGGCAATAAATCAATGTCTGATTTTGCAGGGAGGCAACAATGCTGGGCATACCGTTGTTGTAGATTCCGTGGAATATGATTTTCATCTCTTACCCAGTGGGATCATCAATCCAAAAGTCATTGCATTCATTGGTAAGTATGGCATTTTCCAAAACCGCAATTTTAACACTAATACAAGTCCAGACTCTTGGAGTTCTATTCTTGAAGCCATCAATATCCACTACAGCTCAGGGCATAGTAAGTCAGGAACTTCCTACTCCTCCTCACCCTTTTTCTCCCCTTGCTCTGAAGGACTTGGGCACTGGGCCCAGAGGGTCTTTGCAACCTCACTGCATTGTCCTCGCTCAGTTTTGAAATTTGGACTCTGGTCAGTTTTTCTCATTTGCTTTTTTGCTGTTGCTTTATTCTCATCTTTCCTACCACTGTAACCTCTCTCTGCTTGTCTCTCTCCTTTCTTTACCTCCTTCCCATTTTCTCTTATCTCTTTACCCACTTCCAGAATCCCTTCCCATCATTTCTCTCTTCCACTTCAACCTCAGTGAGTGACCACCAAAAAATGCCCTCAATGGTTATAAGTAATGCTTCCCCCCCCCCTCTCTTCATGGATCGAGGGGCCTTGAGCCAAGGCTACCACGTCCCAAAAGAGGCACCTGATACCATATGATCCCTTTCAGATGTCCTTCTGCCCCAGTGCCACTAGTGACTGGTGTGTGTGTGTGTGTGGTGACTAGTCCCTTGGTCTTTCAGGAGACTATTGCTGTGCTGAAGGCATTCTGTGTTTAAGAACAACTTCAGATCTACTGAGCTTAGCAAGACCCTAAGATTGTTCACTTTTTGTGGAAGGGATAGCTGTTCCATAACTATATACTTCAGCACTCCTTAGTGACTGTTGCAGTTATGTACTATTTGCCTTTTTAGGGAACAGGTAAGGGCAGTGATCCAAATTGCTAGTAGGAAAGAATTACTATGAGCAACCTCAATTCACTCCTTGATACAATTTCTCTCTTTGCTAGCACAATGACAACATTGGCTTTATTTGCTTTTGCATCACAGGGTGAGAGTAACATATTTGAATATCAATATCTCTAGTAAAAATAGAAATAAATAAAAAAGGCTTGTAAAAACCATAAGAATATTTTAAAAATAGCTTGTACTGCCCTATGAAACTAATTAAATTTTGGAAATGATGAAGGAGAAATACCACTGTGTGACAGACAGGAATGCATTTATTTTTCATCCTGATATAATAAGAACGTTAAATTTCCAATTTAGAGGAGTTCAGTGCATGCAGCTAGGGACTCAAATACTTTAGCTGTAGATCAGGGAGTCTCTTAAATCTTAAATTCCGAAGGATCAAAGTAGTATAATGGAACAGTTTTTGAAATGTATGTCTTAAAATACTCTTTATGCAGAAAAATGAATCATGGATTTGTAAGAAACTAATTTTTCCTGTCTGGCATCATACATTAAACTCTGTATTCCTGATTTCCTTTAGGAAATGGAGTGGTGATTCACTTGCCAGGACTGTTTGAAGAAGCAGAGAAAAACGTAAAAAAGGAAAAGGTGAGAACAACCTTTTAAGGTATTACTTTAAAAGGGGGCGTTGGTGCTTTCAGGGATCTAGTCAGCAGTGCTGTCCCTAGCCTAGAGGCCATGAGAAACAAGATGGCTGCATCCAACTGGAGCTCCTCTCTTTGCTCACTTCTGGCAGCAATCCTGCAGGGACTCCCAGAGCTCTGTTAGTCCCTGCAGCTCCCATCAGGAGTCTCCTTAGCGCCTCCTAGAAAGATGCATTCTAAAATGTAAATTACCCATAATTACCTTTGTCAGTTTTAAACCATAGACTTAATATATTGAAAATAAGATGCTGTTCATGTGCAGTCACTTACTGTAATCAGTATACCTATAACTATTACAGTATTAATACATATGCTACAGTTTGATAAATATACTAGAATGCATGGCGATGCCATGCAATCATTTATAATTTAGTGGCTTAAAAATACACTTTTTAAAGTAAATGCCAAATAATGGACTTGTGGCCAGTTATAGGAATGCCAGATACCTGATAGAAAATGTATTTATCCAACTTCTGTAGCCATTTTTAAAGACAATGGTCTCGAAAGAAACCCAGAAAGGAAAAAAACTCTAACATTGGTAACAAAACAGCTGAGCTTGTTTTAGCAATAGTGAGAAACTTGAAAAATTTCCCTAGTGTATGCAGAATGCCTAGAAGTTTCAACTTCTGATAAGCTGTCTGCATTTCCTGGGTTTATAGGTTCAAGTCAGACCTTAACAATTGAAAATTGTTTGCTTTTTCTGAAATAAGATGGTGACTCAGTTTGGTATGTCTTTTTAAATGACTTCCATTTTCAAATCTATAATTAGTCTTTAGAAGTTTTGCTTATTCCATCATGAAAAGAAAAATGATATACAAAACATAATTTAAACTTTTTTCACTTGGTTTTTAAGGACTAGAAGGCTGGGAGAAGCGATTAATAATTTCTGACCGAGCTCATATTGGTAAGATGGCATATTATATTTATTTCCATAAGAATTTCCTCAGACTTTTCAAAGGCACTGAATAGCTAACAATTTTATTTTATCTATATTAGTATCATTATTGTAGTAGCCAAAGGTTCCAGTCAGGGATCAGGGCTTGATTGTGTTAGGCACTATAGTTTCTTTAATATTAACCTTTTTTCATTTTTAAAAATGTGGAACCATTCTAGACTAAAACATTTTAGTTTGATGATTCATTAAGCTGATTCCAAATGCATGTCATGTTTTCTCAGAAAGCAGTTCAAAAGTTACTTGAATGCTTGAAGGCTTCGTTTCCCATTTCAATATAGAATTTGTGCTCTCCTCTTCGTAGGAAGCTTTGCCTTATATTTTTGCTTCTCTCAGGGATCACATGGGCTTTTGGAGAATACCAAGAAGTGGTAGCCGAAGAAGTGGGTATTCACTCACAAAAGCTCATGCTCCTATACGTCTGTTAGTCTATAAGGTGCCACAGGACTCTTTGCTGCTTTTACCAATTAAACAGTGACTTCAGGTTATAACCCTTTGGACACAGACCTTGTAGTAAAATCAGATTTAGTGTCCCCATAATAAAATCAGATTTAAAGCATCCAAAAATGCTTTTTATGCTGGAGGCCTTTTAATTACTGACTTCTCTGACCATTTGTTCTTTCTACAGCATATGGATGATCTTCACCTGTCTAGAGGCTAAATCTATACAATAGTGTTTTAGTGAATGTATGTAGAGACTTCCATAGGTCTCTGTACCCTGGGAATTTGACCAAGGACTTGGCTACACTTGCAAGTTAGAGTGCATTAAAGCAGCCCCAGGCACACTAACTCACGACCCATCCACACTGGCAAGATACTTAGAGTGCCTGGACTCTGCATCTTTAGCTCTCCTGGTAATCCACCTCCACGAGAAGCATAATGCTTGCTGCGCCTCAGCTGAAATGTCCCAGCATCAGTGTGAATGAGGTGTTCTGATTACTGTGCTCTGATAGGTCTCTGGAAATGTCCCATAATCCCCTTAAGTCAAGTGGCCACTCTTGTCATTGTTTTGGAATCGGCTGTAGGAATGTGGATATGCCCTTTCAAAGCTCCGTTTCTGACAGCCGGCATGCTTATCTGCTCTGGTACAAAGCAAGCCATTACTGTAGAATATTGCTTGTTGTGAGTGTGTGAGAGAGAGAGAGAGAGAGAGGGGCGTGGGGGGGGGTCTGCTGCTGTCTGAACTTGCAAGACAGCATGTGGCATGTTCTCAGCCTCCCAAAAACCCACGCTCTTCTCCCCCCCATACACACTCCACCCCACCCCCCATTTGCAAAGCACGTTGCAGCTACTTGCGTGCTGGGATAGCTACCACAATGCACTGCTCTCTGTGGAGTTGCAAGAGCTGCTAATGTGGCCATGCCAGTGCGCTTGAATCTGACTGTGTGGACAAGCTTCAGAGGCTTTTTTTATACTGAAGACCATTCAAAATAGAACATGTAATTTACAAAAAGGAAGAAGGCGCCAAACTTTACAGCATGCCTCTTATTTGGAGTTCACCATTTTGTTCTCCATATAGGGGGGGAAAAAAAGCACAGTCGATCCTCAGCTAGCTGTGAGAAAACCTCTCTGATAACAAACATAAAACACTTCAATAGAATGGCTTATGGTACCTAACCAATATGATTATTTTCCCATGTTAATCTGCACTCAAAGAAATTGAGGAAAAAATCATGTGTATATCCTTAATTTCAGTTTCAAATTGTTGCACATATAGTCTTGTCCAAATTTGCATTTTAAGGGGTTTTTCTTTTATTTCCTTAGTATTTGACTTTCATCAGGCTGCTGATGGCATTCAAGAACAACAAAGACAAGAGCAAGCAGGAAAGAAGTATGTAATTTTCTTTTGTGTTTTTAAAATATGGGAGTATGAAGTTTAAAACAAAAAAAATCTAGTGTTCAAAGCTTGATAAACCCTAACGACAATAAAATAATGATAAAGTAGTATGAAGTATTCCGAGGTTCATTTTTAGACATATCTTAACATAAGTGTCCCACCAATGACAAATAACAGGATCGCACTCTTAAAGTATGGTCATACCACAATATTTTTGGTACAGAAAGGGACAAATCAGCTGACGCTTCCCAGAACTTAAACTGGCTCTTTAGAAAAAGACACATCTTTTAGTACTGTTGTCTCAAGGGCTGAAAAATCTGAGAAATTATGAAGACTGACAGAACTGAAGTAACATTGACTAATTTTGCTTTGTTCAGAAGTGCACATGAAACATGAATGTTCATGCTGTGCTTTATATGTCACCTGCTATCTCTGTTCTATCTGAGCTTTTTTATGAATTTCAAAACTTACTACCTAATCATGGATGGAAGCAGCTGGCTGAATGAACAACATAACATGTATCTGCAAATGAAAATAAATGTTATGTGAATTTCTAAGGTGCCAGTATCAGAGGGGTAGCTGTGTTAATCTGGATCTCTAAAAAGAGAGAGAATCCTGTGGCACCTTATAGACTAACAGAAGTATTGGAGCATAAGCTTTTGTGGGTGAATACAAATACGCACGCTTCTGACGAAGTGGGTATTAACCCACGAAAGCTTATGCTCCAATACTTCTGTTAGTCTATAAGGTGCCACAGGACTCTGTCACTTTTTAAGGTGCCAGTATATTTCAGCCAGGATATGGAAGGTTTGTCTATGTCAGGGGTCGGCAACCTTTGGCAGGGAAGCGGCGCGGGCGAGGGATGTGCTGGCCATGGCTTCCTGCCGCCCCCATTGGCCTGGGACGGTGAACCGCGGCCAGTGGGGCCCACAATCGGCCGAACCTGCCGCATCAGCAGGTAAATAAATTGGCCCGGCCCGCCAGGGTGGTTACCCTGGTGAGCTGCGTGCCAAACGTTGCCGACCCCTGGTCTATATGGATGAATGAGTAATTAACTCTTACCTTTCACTGGCAGCAGCAGCAACAGCTATCACTCATGACTGACTTCATGAAGTGGACACTCGTGCTCAGGGAAATGCACTGAGACAATCTCACTGCACATAAGCCACTACTGGATGGTGGTAACTCTCAGTTACTTCTGCCCGTGATCATGTTGAAAACTACATGCTTGTCTTTTTCCAGTGCTAGCTAGCTCTCATTTCCAATTCATTTAAGAATTAAAAAGAAAACTAAGAAAATAATCTTTTTTTTTTTTTCATGATGTCTGCATGCCAACTTTTAGCTAAGAACAATTTTTTATGGCTCACTTACAAATCACTGCAAGATGCCATTTGTAATAGAAGCACTGTTGATCCTCAGCTAGCTGTGAGAGAACCTCTCTATAGCAAACATAAAACTTCAATAGAATGGTTTCCTAACCAATAAATGATTATTTTCCCCATGTTAATCTGCACTCAAAGAAATTAAGAGTACAAACTGCATATTAGTTTAATTTTCCTTTTTAATTTACAAACAAATCTGAATGTTAAGCTCTTTAACTCTGTTTTGTATCACTCTGGTGATATGTTGTGGAAATCTCACATCAGCCATGTAATGCTTCAAGCTTGTTAAAGCTGATGGTGAAACAAAGGTTGTCCAATTCTCACCATTTTAGTTAAGTGAGTAATAAAATACAATATATGTAGGAGTCAGATTTTCTGTGTCCTGAGGCTGAAGACAGTGTTGTTATCGATCCCTGAGGGATCCAGTCTCCATGCTAACAGAAAGTAACTTTTTGTTTCTGGATTGCTGGTTTGAATCTAGTCTGGATTGGTAGTGACCAACAATATACCTACCTACTGGGTAGCTAGCCTACCTGGTTTGCATCAAAAGTATTGATGCAATCAGCTGCGTTCCATGGAACACTTTGATTGCTTCAAATAAACACTTTTCAAATAGAAAACTGTTGGCAAATGCAGTCTTGCTCCCCCTATATTCATTCAAAATGTTGCTTCAAAAATCACTCTTGGCTTATTACTTTGACCATTTCACTCCTCTTTGCATCCTTCTACTGGGCTCCACTTCATCTCATCAAACACGAACTACTTGTCTTCACTTTACAGGCCCATGATGTCCTACTCCCCCTACTCCTCCCCCACCTATCATCTCTTGTATGTTGTCAAGATGTTGACTTTTGCCTCCATTCTACCAATAATGCCAGCCTTTGTTACCCACTTGTTAAAATTTCAAATGAGTACCTTTGCATTTTGTCCTGTTCTGCCCCTGGCAAATGGGAGGAGCTTCATGTAAGCATTTGCAGTCACTTAATTGTCCTTTTTCAAATCCATCTTTAAAACTCACATCTGTTGTGGTACCTACAAAAAAATTGACAACTATAAGGTACCTGGTTTACTGAGATTCCTGCCTATCATGTTGATTAGTATTGGCTCAGTTTCTTTGTGCTCTCCCATTTGTCTGTGTACTCACCTGCTCCACCTCAGTATGCCTGCATCTTTGATCAGAGATTTTTGATAGTGGTGCCTGGACTGTGCATGCTCCACATGCCTTGGTACAGGGCACAAGGATGTTATATGGGGCTGCATGGGTGAACCACCCTAAGTTCCTTCTCAACTGCTTTTGGCCTGAGATGGAGTTTGCAACATGTCCGTTACCTATTTAGCATTGTTTATAGTTACTTACCTTTTAGTGTTTCCTTTTTCCTGCCTTTTTTTCTCTTAAAAAAAAAATCCTTTTATTCTTTGATATATTTAACTAGAAGTGCTAGAACTTCCCTTTCTTGAGTTGTCTCTTTTATTGTTCTTTCCATGAGAATGCTGGATTCAAAAGGGGCCTCTCCTGCTGTGAGGCTATTCTGATCAGTGACAGGCATTCCCAGTGGCTCTGCTCTTTGTGTGATACCAATGTTCCTAGTAAGAGCAAGATCTGCACATCCTTCAAGGGTAGATCCTAAAAAAATAGGGAGATAAAGTTTAAACTTCTAATGATGGAGCAAGCCTTATGTCCAGGTTCAAATCCAGGGACAGAGGATACCCTGTACAGAGACCTACCAGTACTGCTAGTGCCCTGTCAACATCAAGATCTTGGTCACTGGAGACTGCTAAAGAGGGTAGGTGGTACTACGGCACTGAGTACTTCCAGGGTACTGAAGTCCTCATTTGCATCTTCCTCTCAACAGAAAGAGGTAGGGAGTAAATCTCCAAAAAGATCTCGGCCACTGACACACAAGAGGGCTATGGAGACCTCAGATCCCTAGGGGAGTTCCATGCAGGTTCTGAGAGATGCCAGTACCTCAAAGGCAAAGAAGAAAACTCAGTCTAAGACAGAATCAGTACTGAGTTAGGGTACCTGGACCTTGAGTGTCAGAGACATTGGTGAAAAGAGTAATCAGCCTGTTCCAGAACAATGAATGCTCAGTACTGATATCAAGGAAGTCTACTGTACAGTGACAGCTAGACAGCAGATGGTACTGAGGGAATTGGAACTGATGCACTTCCAGGGCAAGTGCTTGGTGCCAACTACATCGGTATTGAAGCCATCCTCCACAGGCTCTCAGTCTGTTACTGTCAATGCCTTAAGAGTTCAGGTGCCCTAAGGACTTTATAGTCTCTTTGAAGCCAGTCTCTCCCCTATTTAATGAGTGCGGAGGGTTTGTCAGCCTCAAGACCCTCTCAGTCACTGACACCTGTATCACGTAGGGAACCATGCTCGCTTTTGTCTAATTTTCAAACTGAACAGTCCTTCCCGTTTCTCCTTACCTCCACCCTGATTATGTGGAAGAGGATTCTTCAGATTCTCAGATCTCTGTGCAGGGTTCCCGTCTATTCTGGAATACATCTCTCCCTCTTACACTGATATTTTACAGAAGGATAGACCTCAAATGACACCCTTTGGCATGAACACCAATAGGTGGAGGCATCCATGCTTTGTGGCCCCCCCCTTAGTGGCCTTGCTGAGATCTGTGGGCATTCTATCGCCAACAACGTCTTCACACCACCATAGGGAACAGGAGGACCCATTCTCCTCAACCCCCTTTACCACTAGCCATGCCAGAGGAAGAGACCTTTGAACAAGATGCAAGGGCAGATGAGGTGATACCTCTTTTGTGAATATTTCCTCCTCTTCACCTGATGAAGCTGTCATGTTTCCACCACCTTCTATAGCTGATGATTTCAGACAGTTTCAGGAACTGATGAAGCAAATTGCTGACACACTTCAGAATCCTTTCAGGAGTTCCACTGTAAGCTTCTAGATATCTTACACACCTCATCATCGATGAGAATTGCCATTCTAGTGAATGAAGCTCTTATGGAGCCTGCTAATTTTTGTTTGGCATATTCCAACTACAGCAGCACCTACCTGCAAGAGAGCAGATAAAAACTAACCCAGCTCCAAACTCCCCAGTAGTAGAGGCGACCAGTGAAAGAAGCATGCAACATAGCTCTAAGTCCATCCTATACAGCAAGGAACATAAGAGGCTCGATCTTTTTGGCAGCAAACCCTATGCTTCAGCCACACTTCAGAATAGTGAAGCATCAGGCGCTCATGGCCAAATATGACTACTTAAATTACAACAGCCTTTATTGAACATTTGCCAGAAAAATATCATGCTCAACTTAAAGCCACTATTCAAGAGGATCAGCTTCTAGCAACATCATCATTCCAGGCCTCCTTAAATACAGCAGATTCTGCAGCATGGTCTATATCCACTGCAGTGGTCATGAGAAGAGCCTCTTGGAACTATTGTCTGGCTTTCCAGGAAAGGTTCAAAGTGCCGTTTAAAGACCTCCCCATTGATGGTTGCAAGCTCTTTGCTGTATCAACAGATGCCTCATTAAACATTCTAAAGAACTTGAGAGCCAGATTGAGATGCATTGGAATTTATACTCCTGTAAATAAAAGGAAATTGTGCCCTCTGAGACCTACTAAAAGAGCAT